GTGCAAGCCCCAAAACCTTCAAGTTCAAAGCTTCAGCCCGACATCCCCTGACATTGCTTTCGTATGGGAAAAACCACGAAAAACACGACTTCCAACCATGACACAATGACGAAAGAAAGAGTCGACACGTGTAGAGGTCGCGCACGGCTGTCTCCCAAAACAATAACTGATAAAGCAAAAAACATCGTTTTTCCCCAGTGAGCTACAATTTTTGCCTTAACGCCCCTCAAGACTACAAAGGCTTGGCAACACCGAAGCCCCAAAACCCCACACCTCCCCAGAAATCCGAAAAGGCCATTTTCTCCGGAAAACTTTAAAGAATTGTTGCCCGACAATCAAGCCATCAAACGCAAAATCATGCTTTTGCTGTGGTAAAACCACCAAAAATACTCGTTTCACAGATAAAACAATGACGAAAGCAAGCCCCGAAAACTTTCGAGGTTGCGCGAGGATGTCTCTCCAGAACAAGAAGTGATAATCCAGAAATCAGCGTTTTACCACGGTAAAACTGCAATTTTGCCTTCAAAAACGCTCGGGCTATTGCGCGGGTCGTTTCGCGTGGCGTTACCTTGTTGTTGGCTTGTCATCTGCTGACACATTCACATGTATGGCCGATAGGACCCATCAGAGACTGCAATTTTCATATGGAACCTTGCACAGCCTGTGGTATGAAGTTTGTTGGTCAAGCTTCCTGAAGTTATTGATACAGTTGGCTGGAATCGAAACATGTTCCTGCGAAACCACGGATACGATCTTGCCAACCCTGAGCATATCAGGGCGGCCCGCGAGGCTTGGAGTAGCGATCCTCTCATGAGACCGCATCTCGGCTCTGCTGATGCTGCTCCCGGAGCTAGCGCAAGCAATACGGGCAGATGCTCCGGCCCCAACGGATGTCGACATGGATGAGAGGGATGTCTCTTACGCGGCGACAATGGCAATAGGGGCAGCAGTATTTTCAAGGCGGTCACCCGAAGGATGTGGAAAGGGAGTTCCCGCGTATGCGTATCACGATTCAAGGGCCGTCCTCACGATTCCGACGATCGTAAGACTCGTGGAGAATGAGCGAGCGTACGTGGCAAGGTGCTCCTGCACAATCCCATGATATAGACGATCATGGGCACCCAGAGCAGATCGTCCTTGTTTTTGCATCCGAGAGATTGCGAAGCGGGGAACACCCAATTCGAGTTCTTTTACTCGTCGGTCGATGAATTCGGGCAGCCTACAGTTGAGGGCATCCGAGCGACATGTGGGTTTGGCCCCGACAGCTTCAAGCGGACCCTTCACAGGCCTAGCCCAAGATCGATATACGGGCACTGGGCCGAGCAGGAGGAGGATTAACGGATCGTCACCACCCATTATGCGGAATTCATGGGACACATGAGCGATGGGAAAATCATCCCTCAAAAACAGTCTCTGTTCACGATGCTGCTCCCTTACCCCCTCGGGAAGAACAATGCGTGTGCCGAGGCTTATATCCGATCAAGTAAGAAGCCCGGACGCTCACGGCGTCGTTCCTCAAAGAGGCACTGTCGTCGAATCGCACGTTCGCTTGCGCGGTTGACCTTCACATGTGTGCAAGGTTTCTGAACAGGATCTGGTTGCATGGATGCGGGTATTACGCGACAAGGATAACATCCCGATGGCCTGTCTTGCGATTGGGTATTTCGTGGACACGGGCTCGATTGTTCTCAACAGCTCGTTTCAGCACACTGCTGGTCCTATATGTATGGAGTTGGACCTGAATTGTCCCAGGGTGCGCGACGACCGGAACTTCGGAACTGGACATGTCCACGCAACGATGCCCATCTGGCGGCGTTGTGTGTATGCAGTGAACCAGACCGGTATACTATCCGGATGGGCTATACTACATCAATGCTTCCGGTCGACGCACGAGGTCGCCAAAATCGACAGGTGGAGTTCACCCTTCATCGGTACCAGAGCCGCAGCCTCCTTTTTGTTCCGGAACCTTCCTGCAACTCGATCACTTGCGGAGGAACACCGGAAAACGGCCTTCTTTGGCGTGCCTCTGATAAAATGCACGAGTGTCTCGCTGTCACGGAGCGAAGTCGAAAACGTCTGGAAAATGTGAAAGGCACACTGCAAGGAGGGATCCGAGTTGACATCTCGATTGAAAGACTGGTCGCTGCCATGTCTGGCCTGATTACGGTGGAACAGTTCTTTAAGACCAGGAAGGAAGCCATACCAGTTGTCAAACTCTACGGTTCCTTGTTTCTCAACTGCAGAGAAACCGCTGTACCACTACGCACAGTGCTCGATTCACTGCCGTGAGGCATATCGCGAGTGCATTCGCAAGAAATACTTGCATCCGCACTTCGTCCAAGCTGGAAGCACGCCAGCTGAAATCGATGAAGAATGGATGGACATGGATGGACTGCCTTCTTGATGTGGATGCCGTGTTCAAGATGCGATTCAACATGCGGCTTCGTAATGAGCCAACCGCGATGGGCGAGCTCCGAAAGGCGATTGTCAATGAGGAAAGGTTCAAACGATATCTTCGTGTGGACTCAGAGGCACTTTCCATGCACCTGGCTAAGATCACCTCAACGATGACCTATGGTATCGCCGTCAAAGGTGAACCGGGTTATATCTCTGACGATAACGATGAGGAGATTGAGGGTGCAGGGGCTGGTAACGATGAGGACCAGGTGTGGAAGAACTTCGATCCTCTTGGTCACGCTCTTAGTCGTCACTTCACTGCGGAAGGATTTGCCCACCACGATGAAACCATGATTGAGACAGAGGGTCCTGCTGCCGATGAGTTGAAGCTGCGGATCCCGCATTCTGAGGCCATGATTCAAGAGCTCTTCAACGTAGACATTCAAGTCACAGCCAAGTTACCAAGTTTGTCGAGGAGGTCGATAAAATCGCCAGCCGATGACCTTGGCCGGAGAACGTTGACCCAAGGAATGGCCCTCGATGAAGATATTGCCCCTACCGATGATCCTGAGTGTGGATACGACCATTGGATCTGCTGCCCCTGTTGCGCCTGAGGTGAAACCGAAGGCTAGACCGCCTCCCACAGGATATCGTCCAGATACCTCGAGCACTGCTCCATCGACATGTGGAGCCTCGAATCGAGCCCGTGTCTTGGCTGAGCATGGGGGTGGAGGTGGCTCCTCAACCAGAAAGGGACCTCACGTTCCCGCCCACGATAGACACACCGAGGTGCGCTACTGGCCCTAATCTGGGGAAGACCACCATTGCTGGCTTGATTCGGTTGGCTAACAAGTCGGCTGCTCAGACCCTGATCAAGCCCATCGAAATCCATTGAATATGGATGCAGGGATGGAGCCCATGGTCGAGGCCACTCCCTCGCGATCTGGCAGGGTTCAAGCCTACGAGGAAGGTTCAGGGCTGCGCGCCATCTCCCGATACATCGAGTGCGGGCGCTGAAGCGATTAGGTTAATTCTGGATATGGGAGTGCTGTGACGAACCGCATCTCATCAACCCAAAAAGGCTCAACAAATGGAGCCATCATGGCGTCCCGGGCTCAGGGTCGGGCCTGTCTCGGCGGCTGAGGCTGCCGATAGACGCGGTAGGTCCCGCTGGGTTGCTAGCATAATTAGTACCCGTTCGATTCAGCGGGTCAGTGATGGAATCCTCCGGTTGTGAGTCTGAGCATCCCAACCCAACGATAATCTTCGGACGGTAACTGCCCACGCAAAATCTTCTCGATCGATGAGTCTCCCTGGGCGCCCAGGCACCCTACACCTCCTGCGAACTTGCTTGACGATCATTCATCTGTTCGCGAGAGCCCTGCACCGAAAGAGAGAGGCAAAGGCGATAAAGGTGGGTTCGATAAAGGAAAAGGCAAAGGTAAGAAAGTGAAAGGCGATCGAGCACGTAGTCCCCCAGTTCGGCGTGACGATGAGAGTCGCCGAGGGTAGGCGTAACCGATCGAACCAGCGGTGAAGCATGGCGTCTTTTCTGGTGGATCCGGTTGAACCCCCACGGGCAGTGTTGACTCGCGCTAGAGTTAAGGTTCGTGCCGGTTCTGATGGTGAAGCAACGATCAGACACAATTTCTACCGCTTTCCTCAGCAATGGATAGCCATGGTATTTTCTTCGTGTATCTGTCTCTCTCTTTTCACTGACACTCGATGCTGCGGAGCTGCTGCTCTGAGCACGTCGATCAAAAGCGCAAAACCCGATAAACGATTACACAGTTCTGTCTTGTGCACTCCGATACAGTGCCTCGCTACAGTCCTGAAATCGCATAGGCTGCGAATGCACACTGTGAAACATAGGCCTGATCAAGCACCAAAAATCGACTAAAGGTCTCTTTGCTTCAAGCTTTGAAAGCTTCCGGAAGAGGCATGGCTCGATGTACGACCGTACGACCAGAGTTGTGTGACACGTTTAAACTCCGTATTTCTCACGCGTGAGCTCGCGTCGAGGGGGGTGTGATTTGTCACCGACTTGTGTGCGTTGCCTTGCTTGCTGGGTATCCGATTGGTTGCACCCTGCTTCGTGACCGAGAGTCAAGTGGATTCCTCTGCTTTTCACACAAACCCATCCCACCATCCATCCATCCATCCAACACTGCAGAAATGCTTCGCTGCGAACTGTTCTGTGAACCCTTACCCTTATGCAAACCCTTGTACACAGCACTCCTATGTTTCGAGACACAAAGCAACGCCCGCGGGCACGGCCTCCCCGCATCCGCCAAGAAATTCTTTTCATTTCGAGACCAGCCTGCGGCCCATTGGACTTAATCCCTCTTGCAGAATGCGGACACTCTCGTTTCGAGCGGGTGGCCGGAGAATGCCAAGCCCCGCATCTGCTAATAAGTTTGTCATTTTTGGGCCAGCCCTCGGCCCGTGCGTTGAAAGTTGCACTGGATCGCGGCCAGCACGCAACCTATGTAAGTTACCATGGATCGCCGGCCCGAAACGATGCAGAAACCCTGCCTGGTGGCACTCCAAGCCCAGACGTACCAAACACAACCCAAATGAGCAAATACATCTCCCTTAGTCAGATTTGGGGAATGTTGGTTTCGGATTTCTTGCTGGATAGTTTTGTCGAAGCTCTCTTTGCATGCGCGTATGTGCATGCGCCGCTTGTCTTTGATGCATATGGCTTGCGCATCATCGAAAGTCCTGTTGGTGTAGGTACTGCCTCCGCTACGGCTACAGATTACATCCGGTGTCAGAGCCTGAGACATCTCGGCAGAGTTTGCGGAGCTTCCGGAGCTGCCGAGGTATACCTTCGGAGAAAGCGAAACGTGCCCGCCGGTTCGAGCAACGTCCCTGTGGAGTGCTAGTCCGGTGCCGGAGGTATTTCACGCTGGGTGGTTTCGAAAAGCTCCGGCTTTGGTCGGCACCCAAGTGTGCACCACTTTCGGTCGCTACTCTCTTCGGCACGGGGTGCACGGCTCTGCTTCTCGAGGCTGAACGGTAAAGGGATTCCAACCGTTTGCTTCTGGGGCTTGCCGTCCGGGTCTTAGCTTCTGCGTTCACCTTCTTTTTCTGCGGGGAGAAGACGCCGAGGTGGTGCCCACTGCTTCCGCGCCGGCACCTAAAGGCCGATGTCGGGCCTGGGAATGCGTGCTGGCTTTGATCGCTGCTTCGCTTCCCCTCAGCTCCTGACCTTCGTGGGCCCGGCCTTGGAGCTTCCGAAGCTTCCAGAGCCCACGACGCAGCAGGAGAGCAGCGAGGAGAGGAGACCTGTGACTCTGTGACTTTTTTCTGTCGCAGGTGGACGAGTGGCACCAGAAGTATGTGGAAGCCTTGAGGGAACTCTTCGACAGACACAAGGCTGAGGCGTGCCTCCTGAATCCACGATCCTAAGTAACAGTAGTCGTCCCAAGAGTCCCTGGCAGGCAGGCAAGCCTTCGGCCGTGCTGGAGATACTGTAGCATTTGCTGCATTCTGCTGGGCAGGTTTCCAGGTTTCACCAGATTTTCGTGAACTAATTCGGTGCCACGAAGACTAACGGCCTCCCCCCCGGTAATGTTCAGATCAGAAGTATGGACAGTATGCAGTGTGAACAAGTTTCACGAAGAGCTTGGAAACAACGCACACACACGAGATGGAATGGAAGCCCCGTCGAGCACAGAGCATCTCTCGCGGGACTCAGCCCGGGCCCACAGAACTAGCACCTCACAGCACCTCTCTCTCTCTCTCTCTCCCTCTCGCTGTCCCGCGCGCACCCGGCTGTGAAGGTGCCGGCCCGAGCCGGAAACCGGCGCCTTCCTCACGAGTTTTCCAAGAGCCCAACCGCCGCGAGGTTTGCGAGCCTCCGCTCGCAGAGCGCCGCTTTCAGCAGCCACTCTCTAGAGCCGCTTTCAGAGAGCTTCATGCAGAGCGAGTCTGCAGAGAGCCTAAAGCTTGGAGGTCAAGCTCAGAGTTGCTCATGAATGACGTGCGGTTCTTAACGCGAGGCCATGATGAATGACCCTTGGTGGCTCGAGCTCGAGCTCCCTTCGATCCGAGCGGAGTTCGCATATAGACTCCGTTGTGTGAAAAACTCTCAGAGACGGACGAGATGAGGTGACTGCGATGGCCATGGCAGCCATGGCAGCTCCGATCCGCCTTCCCGGCCTTCCCGGCCTTCAAGGCCGCATTCCCCGCCTTCCTCGCTCCGTGCTGCTCCTCGCTCTCTTTCTTCGGTGCCCCCTTTCCCTGGCCGCGCGGCCCGCGCAAGCGGCGGAAGCGAGCCTGGGCACCGAGCCGCAAGAAGCGGACAGGGAGATGGCCGGCGCCTCCCGCTCTTTCGCCGCCAGTCCGGAAGAGGAGCTCTTAAGTCTGCGGGATCACGGCTGCGCCGAGGCAGGGTCTGGCCAACCGAAGAAAACTCTCCGTGTATTCAAAGGGAGAGAAGTCTCTCTGACACAGAAGAGAGGTGTGTGTAAGTGTGTAAGTGTTTTCTGTGTTTTCTGTGTGTGTGTGATGTGTTTGCTTCCCCTCTTCCCCTCTTGTCTCTGCCCAGGCGATGACGTCTTTGAAGGAAGAGGCCTGCTCAGTGAGTGTCTTTGTGACCATGGCTTCGACCGTGGCGAGTTCCTTGGACTGCGAGTTCTTGCGCACGAACAACCTGCTCCGAATCTTCGCCAAGCTTTTCCAACGGGCCGATGCCGCTGAGCTGGCCAGCAAGCGGGAGGAGCCGAAGAAGCTGCAAGAGATGGAGAAATGCAAGAAAGAGGACTGCAGACCTGGTGAGGCCTCTGGTGGATCCTGCTCTGGCATCCGCTTCACCAGCTACAACAAGAAGCGGATTCTGATGATGCCGGATGCAGGCACTGCCGACGGCGCCGATCGGGGCCTCCGCTTTGCCATGCTGGGAGGTGGCGTGGACGACTTCTCGAACAGCGAGAAGGTGATCTTTACACCTGGCTTCCACACACGCTTGCAATACTTCGGCTACGACCCGAAAGTTGTCATGCATTTGTGGACGAAAGGTGACTCCAACGAGGGAGCTGCAGTTCCCCCGCGGACCTGGGCTTGCGTCGACCGGCCGCACTCGAATCTCCTGGACCCCAGGCTCGCAGGCAGCGTGTTTGAAAACGGGACGCGCGCCGCAGAGAGCAGCGAGCCCGCCCCGCTGGACACCCAGCGCAGAGAGCGCCTCCGCAGAGAGCGGTGCGAGTGCATGCGAGAGAGCGGAGAGCAGAGGCTGCATTGGATGCCAGCCGCCAAGAGCCGAGTCACTGGCGATCTCATCAGCGAGGCAGCGCGGCAGCCCTTTCTCTAAATTTGCATGTGTCTCTCTCTTCTGTTTTCTTTGGGGGGGCTCCCCTCTCTTCGCTCTCTTTTGCAGCCCGCAGGTCTCCGCCGTGGCTTTCAGGACCGAGAACGCGGAGGCGGCCCAGGCCTCGGCGCTCGGCTAAGGCCAAGACAAGAAGAAATCGCCCCTCCCATGTCGGTCGGCTCACCTCTACTGATAAACGCTCTCACTAAAAACGCTCCTCTTCTCGCTCCCTCTCCTTATTCAGCCGCGTCCTTTTTTTCTTGTGGGGCTACTCGAGTGGGCACTCCAAGGCTTGGCCGACCCCCCAACGATTCAAGCATCTGGCTAGGCGGCTAGGCGGAGGCATGTCGCTGTACGCACTGCAGCGGTGTGCGACATTTCAAGGTCGAAGCAGAAGCGAATAAAGTACTCGTCGTGGTCGTCGTCTGCTCTCTCTCTTCTTACTCTCCTTCGTTTTTGCCGTTCTGTTTCGGCAGACCCTCTCAGGTCCCCATGGGCACGGTGACCATGACCGTTAACATGACCTACGCCGGCGAAGCCAGCGCCCAAGAGCAGCCCCTGTGTGCGATTCTGCAGGCTGGCCCCTTCAAACTTCAAGGTCCTGAGCAAGCTTCGGCTTAGTCCCAATTTCTACTCCATCGTTGCAGATGCTGGCGGCCAGGCTCTCTCAGCCTTTTCAGAAGGAAGGAAGTCTCCAACGTTGGAAATTCAACCCCAAAAACAGGTGGTCGCAATGAGCCAACGGGCACGAGACGTCGTTTTCAGAGACGGCTTCAGCGAAGAAGAACTCCGGTGTCCCGCCTCGAGCGGAATGCGACTGCGGAACGCGCAGCCGCGCGGTCGACTGCGCCGCAGCCCAGGAACCCGTCCGGAGAGCCGGCCTGCAGCGCAGAGCGACGGTGTCCTGGCAGCAGAAGCCAGCTGCCAGCATGGACCGAAGAAAGCGACGAAGGGTTGTTTGTATCTGTCTCTTCTTGAAAAGCAATTAAGGACGGGCTGCTGGCCGCCTCCCCAGAAGAGTCTTGAGAAAGAGAGCTCCCTTGCTCGGAGAGTCACGGCCCGCCTCGCCTCGCCTCTGCAGGTGGGCGCCGCCCTCGCCGCTCTCCCTCAAGAACGCAACGGACCCGAGGTGCCCCGAGCTCGACATCCGCGGGTGCTCGCGTGCGGTCGGGGCGCGCGCGCGCGATGTGTGTTTCAACGCCAGGTTCAGCGGCATCGACTTCGAGAGCATTCTCGCGACGGTCTTCAACGCCTCGATGAAAAGGGAGAACCTCTGTTCCATGGGAGTGAGGCCGCGCCACTGCGCCCTCTTGAGTGCTTTGTGCGAGCTAGCAGCAGGACCCGGACCCTTCACGTTCCGAAGGGTAGTGACCACTTGGCCGTCGCATCTTCAGACATTTCTGTGACATCCCTGCCCAGTAGCTTTCGCCATCTCTGAGGTCTTCTGCAGGCTGATGGCCAATCCAGAGTCGCTGGGTTGCAGCTGCAACTCCCGCCTAACGCCCGCCTAGCGTCCGTTCACGGCCGTTCACGGGCGCCACCGCAAAGGTGGGCGATTTTCCTGCTCGCGCCGCTGGAGGACTGGCATGTCGTTGCTGCCACGTGGCCATTCCGCACTCATCTGGCTTCCGTCGTCGAGCGATGACTACCACAATGACCCATATTTGAGCATGACAATCTTGGGCATTGGGGCTTGGTCTGCACAGGAGCTGCAGACGGCGGCCACATTCACCGTGGACAAAGAGAACATCACCAAGGACAATGTAGCCACACGGCCGCAAAGATGAAGACGTTGCAACGACGAGCATCGTTCCTTGGAATTTCTTCTCAGGGCAAGAACGAAGACCACGACGGCAAGGACACGGTCACCCTCCACAACACGGGTTCGGAGCTGAAAAACGGGAGTGAGATTGGCGACGTCTCCACACTCCAAGCTCTTAAGCATGCAACGTTCATCACAGTGAGGCTAAGACTGATTGCACGTTTCCCACGCCTGCCACGGCGTGCTACGGAAATACGTTGTGAGTGGAGCCTCGAGAGGTCGCGTGGCACTTCCTTTCCAAGTCACCGTCAGTGCAGGGAAGGCGCCCAGAGATGTGTTTGGTCGAAAGAGGGAGGGTCTTAGGTTAGTGGTCCTCTCTGGTCAGGGGGACAACAGCAGCTGCATGACGGTGTCGCCCTCCAATGGTACGTTGGCCCCCAATGAAACCGCGAAGCTGCTCCTGACGCTCGGCTGGAACAGAGAGCGGTTTAAAGAACGCAAACGCAAGAATCATACAGAAAAGCCTGCAAAAAGAGATTCGGGCGCGCCCTTATTTTGTGCTAGTTCAAGGAACTTCGATCTGGACACTTTTGGCTATGGCACCTCCAGCGGCTGGATCATCGTCGGGCTCTCGATTGATGAGTATAGCCGTGCTCCCGTTTTTCGAAAAGCGCCCCCCCTTCTTGGAAGGTTCACCCAGACACTTCGGATGACAGGGGCGCCTGCTTCCGAAAGAGCTCGTGGACCAGGCAGCTGCTGCACTGCGGGGGTGCTGCAGTGAATCTATACATATATATATATATGGCGCGTGTGGGTGAGGTTCTCCTTGACTCGGCCGAAGCCACGGGGGTTCCTGAAAGAGGCGATCATCCGCAATGGCATCCCTCTGCCACCTGGCAGTAAAAGACGACGGGGGGGGGGGGGGGGGGCGGTTGAGTGACGCGGATTGGGCTTTAGGTCCGCGGCGCTGATGCTGGCCCTGGCCATGGTTCTCTACCGAGTTTGGGCCCAAGCGCCCTTGCGCGCAACAGCTCGGCTCATGCTCCGCTGGCCGCTGGTCTCCGTCTGACTCCGTTTTGTTGAGAAGAGGTGGTCTCTTCCTTGCTGAACTCCTACTACGGGAAGCTGGCCAAGGAGAAAAGCAAGAGACGCAGAGATGCCTTGCCTACTCCTGCAGATTTTTGTTGGAGTGTGTGCTCGGCCTTGGCCTTTGAGGAGCGGAGCACCATCGAGAAAGCGCTTTCCGCCACCCAGGAGGTCTCCTTCCCCATGGTCCTGCTTCAGGCCGCGACTCTCACGCCGACTCTTCTTCTCCGTCTTCTCCTCCCGTCAGAGAGCTGAGGTGCCCATCTTCAAGGAGCTCGGGAAGTTCGTGGCCTTCGAGAACACGCTGCAGCGCTCCACCTGGCTCCACACCATCCAGGAGAGCGGCGGCGCCGCCTTTTAGCCGACTCCGCGCGCGCCCGCCGTCTCTGACCGTCCCAGAGCCTGCAGGAGATCGACGACTTCCTGCAGAAGGCACTGAACAAGGCCCCTCTGGCACTGGCCTCTCCCTAGCCGGGGTGTTTTGTGAAAGCAGTGAAGCGCGCATCGTCTTCTTTCGAAGGTGATCTTCATGTCCCACCAGTGGACAGCCTTCGCAGAGCCTGATCATACAGGTCAAGCTCAAGGTTCCCTCTGCTTTCCCCAAGAGCTGCCTTGCAGGGAAACAATACGAGCAGATGGTCATGGCCGTGGAGGAGGTGATGAAGAAGTGGAAGTGGCAGGCAAGCCTCAGACGACTGAGTGTCACTACTCACTCTACTCACTCTTCCATTTGTTGACGTTGGTTTTTTTTATGTCATTGCTTTCCCGTGGATGCAGGAAAGCAGCACCTACGTTTGGCTCGATTACAGCTCCATTCCGCAGAGGCGCTACTTTTAGAGGGGAGACAGGGCTTGGCAGAGCAAGGCTGGGCAGGTGGCGTCTCAGCAGAGCCCCCCCCCGTTGAAGTGAGAGGCACCGTCCCTCGCAGACAGCTGCGATCAACTCTTTGACGGTCTACGCCGCCAAGGCACGGCAGACGGAGAAGAGAAGAGAGAGCGAGACGCGGAGCTCCGCGGAGCGCTGCTTCGCTGCGGGAGGTCTCCGCGTTTGTGGTGGTGGCACCTCCCGTGAAGCACAAGGCCGGCGCTGCGGAAAGCGGAGCCGCTCCGCTCCTTTCCTCCCTCCTCCTCCTTACTTCTCCTTTTGTTGAGAGTCTCTGAGTCTCTCTCTCTCTCTCTCTGCCTCTCTTTTGGGGCGCTTGCCCTGCCCTCTCTCTCTCTCTCTCTCTGTCTCTCTCTCTCTCTCTCTCATCATCTCATCTCATCATCACATCAGTCAGGACTTGGAGGACGAGTGCAACAAGGACACCTACCAGTGCCGCGCCTGGTGCAGGCCGGAAGGGCGGGGCCTGCTGCCCGGCGCTGCTTTTTTCTAGCGGCTAGCGGAGAGCAGCTCCTGCTGTCAGCACAGGGCCGAGCAGCTCTCGCACCTCTTGGCCCCGCGGACCGCGAAGATTGCGAAGACCGCGAAGCCTAAGCTCTCTCGCACTCTCTGCCCTCTCCGCCCTCTCTGCCTCTCTCTTTCTCTCTCTAGTTCGTAGAGGAGCGCTCTCCGTTCCGCTCTTTACGCTCTTTTCACTGCCCTCAGCTCTTCGCTCTGCTGCCGAGGCCCAGGCTGGTGACAACATGTTCCTGGCAGAGAGCGGCCAGCCGCGGTCCCAGCGGAGCTTGAGCCAAAAGCCCCCCCCCCCCAGAGAGGGGAAGAGCCTGGGGAAAGGCCCCCCCCCTTCGAGAACAAGCGGCAGCTCAAGCGTCTGCACGACGCGTGGAGCGACCGCCCACCCCTCTCAAGCAGCCTTTCTAAAAGCTGCAAAAAGCTTGGGAGAGCGAGCTTGGGAGAGCGGAGAGAGCGGAGGAGGTTTCCGCGGCGCTCTGCAAAAGAGAGCGCCGGCGCGAGCGCCGCGAGCGAGAGATCTGTCTATGGCTTCCCCTAGAGGCACCGGCTCCCACGCCTCCCCATAGCTCCTTTCCCCTTTTGGCTTTTTACCCCTGCTTTCCCCAAGCAGACCCGTGCCGAACACAAGCGACAGAATCCTCAAACCGGTAGTGCAAAAAGGCTGAAGCCAGTAGCCTGTGACTGTGTTCTCGGCATCAGTTTGACTTGAGCTTGTTACGTGTATCCTTGTTTGCTCTTCCAACCGCTCTAAGACCCGGAGCAGCAGCCCCTGCAATGACAGGGGAAAGCGATACTACATAGCACAGAGTGAGGGTCAGCACAGGCAAGGTCAACGAGGCGGGTTGTTAGAGGGGACGGAAAAAAGGGTAACTAGGTGGCCTCGAACTTGACAACCTGAGCTGACTCGCACATCCGTGTCGACCCACAGACAACGGACATCGGCGCAGCGCGAGTGCGCAGGGGATGGGGTCTTAGACGTCGTGCAAGCAAGCAAGCAAGCAAGCAAGCAAGCAAGAGAGATAGATAAAACAAACAAGGGAGGTGGGTGAGTGGTTGGTTTTTCAAGAAAAGGAAGTGCGGGAGTACGGGGTCGAACTGCTCACGTGGCACAGTGTCCGTGCTCACGACTCGCGCAGCTCTGAGGCTGACCCCGCTCGACGAGGCGCGGCAAACAGTAGGCATTAGGTCACTTGGCACAAAGTGTACGCCTCTGATGTGAGGTCTGGCTGCAAAAGTCGATCCAGGTCTTCGGGGAGGACAGCCAGCTCACCTGCTGCAGGATCGGGATCGAGGTGATACGTCACACTTCTGGGGGAAGTGTCGGATGGGTACACGATCGCAGGCGCAAGCACGAGGGAATGGACATGTGCGACCAGGAGCGCCCGGGGCTCAGCCAGTTGCGGGCATATATTTGCCAGGTCCGCTCCTCGTGGTTTTGTGTTGAGGTCTGGTGGTGCCCATGCTGGGCCTCTGGGCCCAGCTCTGCCGAACGGTGAAGGCCCGCAAAAAGACGGAAAGCCAGGAGATGACGTCCCGTTTTTCGTCGACTGCAGGCCGGCGGCGCGAACGAGAATCTTCGGAAGATCCACAAAGATCTCTTGACCTTGGAGGCAGGCGTCCCCAGGACCACCCTTTCGCTGTGTTGCAATGCTGGGGCTGGGGCTGTGGGCCATGCAGTGTCGCAGAGAGTGTCACAGGATCAAGAGGATCTTCCCCGAGACGTTCATGCATGAGACAGAGAACGGGCAGGAGGCAAGGGGAGCAAAGCAAGGTTTCTTCGGAGCTCAGGATGCCAGGGGCAGTTGATGTGAGTTCTTTAGCCTGGCTTGGACCTGGAAGGAGCGTACCCTCTTCGGCAACCTTGTGGAGAGGCTGCAGGAGAGAAAGAGCGAGTCACTGCATTCTGCCACTCTGCCCTTGCTTGCCTCTGAGGACACCTTGAATCAAGAGCAGCCCGCTTCCGAGAAAGAGAAGGCCGGGCCATGGAGTCTGGCATTCAGCCTGGATCTAGATTTGTTGTATCTTTATCGGCGTAAGTATTTACATCTTCCTCATCTAGTGAAACGCAATGGTTTCAACATCAATGTGACATATGTTGAGTTAAACCATTCTAATTATGGAAGGCATATTATGTAAGACAATATGGTGCAACATAACATAATGCAATATCATACACGATAGTACAATATAAGCTTGACCCGGGATCCAGGTCTGTGCTTGCCTTGAGTTCAAAAGAAGCCCATGAGGCAGGCAAGGATGCCAAGGATCGCTTGAGAGTGCCCGTACCGTGATCGCTGTGCTTGAAAACTGAGTAGCTGTGCATGGCAGCGGCAGAGAGGCTTCACTTGATCCTCTCTCCTGTCACGGTCAAGTGGAGCCGGTCCCTACTCCGTGAGAGCTGTCACGAGGGCCTGACGTCTCGATGCTCCGATCGTCCCATCAGAGCAGGCCGGCGCAGACGTGTGTGCACAATGCTTCAAAAGGCTTGGGAGCCACTGATGGCCGAGTGTTTCCTGTGCATGGCAATAACCGGTGATATGCTGCTTCAGAGATTTTGTCGTCGGTTACATCTCGTGACAGCATGTTCTCTTCCCACCCTACGCTCCCAAAGCCCGTCTGCAAGAAAAAGATGCGGAAATTAGACATCGCTGCAGACTCCCGTTCTGAGGACGGCCAGTTGCTTCTGATCACGGTCGGTTGCATCGAGCTGTGCAGCCCGTGTTTACTTCTATGCGTGCGGTGTCAGTTCGTGTGGCCTGGGCCTTCCACGCGCGGATGAAGAGAATTCGCCGATGAAAGCAACATGTATATGTACGAGTACATGCACGCGTGCCTGCCTATGTGCAGGTTTAGGAGTGTATGTATGTATGTATGTATGTATGTATATATATATATGTAATTTTGTATTCATGTATTATTTATATGTATATATATATACTATTTTATTCATCAAGAGTTTGTATGTTCCGTGCATGCGCCTCAGGAGAAGCGCAACTTCAAGGCGCTGGCCACGGCCACTGCGGCGGCCGCTTCTCTTGCGCGCCGCCCCGACACCTTGGGCGTGCCGGCTTCGGACGAAGCTTCGGGTAGGCGCTTGAGCCAAGTCCTATCTCCGCCGGAGGCTTGAGAGGCCCCAGAGAAGCTTTGCGTCTGAAAGGAAAGGCTGCCGCTGTTTTGAAGCATGAGCGTTGCATGCGGCATGCAGCATTGGCGGTGTTGAAAGTTGCACGTGTGTCTCAAAGCCGGATGCGTGGTTGCAGCCGTTTCCCTGGAGCGAGCACGTGCTGCTGGCAACGTGCATCGCAGACGCCCCTGACTCGTCAAATCTCTCAAGATATTGACGTGAAGCGTTACTTTGCGAACACCTTGCATTGCTGAGGCGTCGCCATGGGCCGGGGCAAAGCCAAGGTCCAGGCAGAACGGGAAGGGCCATGGGGGGCATCCAATAGGAAGGTGAGACGCGGAGAAAGGGAAACGCCTTGCAGGTCCCCGACTGCCGTTATGGGGCCGCTTGCACTCGAAGGCCGGGCCAGGAGAGGGGGGGGAGGGGGGGGCACAGCTCTTTGCTTCTCAGGGACTGCGTTTTCAAGCATCCGCCGAAACCAGCAAAGTCTGCCATCGCCTCAGTGCATGGGAGCGTCTAGGAAGGGAGGTCACGCAGAAGCGCAAGGTGCGTCAACAAGCCCCCATTGAGAAGTCGGACAAGGCGCGGGGGTTTCGCTGCGCGGCAGCGTGGACGCCGCGTGGAAGCGGCCACGTGCTCGCGTCTTGCGCCTTTTTGCTCGTCGGCAAGGTCTGCTTTGCCTTCGTGGCGGGGAAGTGCGCCTTCGGACGACAGTGCCACGACAAGCACCCGGATGAGGCGCGGAGACGCGGCGAAAGCATCCTTCCATTCTCCTGGCACCAAAAGGGTACTCGTGGCATCTGTCTTCACCATGTGTTTCGGCACCAAAGCCATTGTGAAAGCAACGGCTGCTTGTTTTTCTCCGCGTGTTGTTGGCACTAAACCCATGGTGAAGGTCAGGGCAGCTTGCCTTCAACGTGTGTTCTTCTGGCAGCAAAGCCATGGTGAAAACAGCGCTTTGCCTTCACCATGTGCTTTTGGCAGCAAAGCCAGCAAGCAACGGCCGTGTCACTTAACTTGTGTTTCGGGCACCAAACATATTAGTGAAGGCAGCGACTGATTGCCTTCACCGTGCTATTTTGGCACCAAAGCCATGGTGCGTGTCTCGTCGTCGGTCGCGGTGTTTTTTTGTTGCTCGTGCGTGTCTCGCCGTCGTGCTTGTCATCGTCCTGATTTGTAGTTGCTGTCTTCGTGGCTGTTGTTACTCAAAGGTCCGTCTCTCAACTGTCTGCGCCCGGGATCCGAAACTGCCCGGGGCCACAGGAGAGTGACAGGTCTGGGAGCGCATCTGCCGCGAAGCGCCGCCCAAAAATTGCACGCCAGCCACCGCCACTCTCAACAAAAAGAAGAGAACGCTCTATAGCTACCAGTAGCGGCCACGCCTGTGCCCCTTTCAGGCCTCCTGCCAGAGCATCAAGGAGCGCTATGGGAAGATCGACTGCCAGTGGGGCAAAGGCTGCCGAACCGACGGGCCGCTCGGCCAAGCGAGCTCCGACCTCCCCCCCTCCCCTCCTCTGCTGCCGCCGCTCAGCCCTGCCAGCTCAGCAGCTGCGAGGTGCTTGTACCGGCACCCCAGCGACGAGCCCGTCGGCCCGGCCTTGCGCCTCGAGATGAAGCCACAGCCAGCTGCAAGGGGACCCAAAAAGGAAGGGGCGGGGCGGGCATGTACACATTGAGGCCCTGTTACATCCCCCTATTCTTGACTCTTCGAGTCTGTCAGAGCCCTTCCTACTTCGACCTCTGTCTGACTGTCGCTTGCTTGTCATGGCCATACGTGCAACGCACGTGCAGCCGGACCAAGGTCTATGCGCCAGGTTATGCAAAAGTCCCCGCTTTCAAGGTGCTCCTCTCATCCATATTCTTCTCCATGGCATATGCCGCTGCCATGCAGGTGACCTCGCTGACCCCTGAGCTCGCCCGGGCCCTCGGCACCTGAAGAGGTCGAAGTGGCATTTACAAGCTGGCCGCTGAAGGCCAACGACAACGACCGCAACGATCTACCGGTCTTTCGACACCTGGAGGACCGGGACGAGAACTCACGAGATCGCCCGCAGCGAGACCGTCTACAAGAATGGCTCGAGGAGCAAGACGCCCCTCACCCAGAAGCCTTCCTTAGAGCGAAGCCCGTAGAAAGCACCTACAGAGCCGTTGCTTTAGTGCTTGGTGGCCTTGGCTGCCTTTGCTTGCTCGCTGGCGGTGTTAGGCGCAAGAGCTTGAAGAGCTGAAAGCGTCCAGCTCAATCGCTCGACCCTTAGTGCAGAGTGCAGAGAGCTCAGAGTTTCCATCGGCAGATCGCCGTGGGCATGGCTGAGACTTTGCTCTGAGGCTCCAGCATCTCCAGCCGGGGGGCCTTGCTGAAACTTCAGCTACGCGACTGCACTTGCTGGGCCCGGCGCTCGCTGCTGAGGTGCCTTTGCGTGCGCCCTTAGTCCTGCTGTCGCGTTTAGCAGTTTAGCTTCTTTGCCCGTTTGCACTCTCGACTCGGATTGAAGCTTCACAACTGGAGACCTGCCAGGACGAGGAAGAAGAGGAGGGAACGGTTTAGGGGGTTCGCATGCGATGTTCTGTTCTCACTTTGCCACTTCGGTCTGTGGTGGAGACGCCGATGGGGGGGGGTTCCCTGTCAGGAGCAGGAACGACAGGAGCAGCTCGCTGCCACTCTGCGCTTCATGGGCTTTGTGGAGGCCCGGAGAGCGAAAGCGAGTGAAAGCGAGCGAAAGCGAAAAACTGAGAGAGCGAGCGTCGCGCTTTCTTCGCACGTGTGTCGCACGTGTCTGTGTGGGCCGCGAGGAGCCGAGCCTGGGGCCAGAACCAGCCCCCCGCCGGCTTCAGGAGGACTGGGACCGGCCCGAAGGCCGGGAGTTCCCGCGCCCGAACCCCGCAGCGCCCGCAGCGGCAGCGGCAGTCGGAGCGGGCCCCTCTTCCTCGCCTCAGCTCGCGGCTCCGGCTCCCTACCACCGCCCGGAGCCCCCAGAGACGGCGCCGCCCGGGCCCCCCGACCACCTCCACCTCACGAGAGCCGCCCCTTGGCCGAAGAAAGAGATGGTGCAACCAAAGCACACAGAATATAGGTATGGGGAAATAGCAGTGTGCGCCTTTCTCTCTCCTCTCTTCTCTTCTCTTCCTTCTCTTCTCTCTTCTTCTCTTCCTCCTTCGGAATATCGTACTCTGCCGAAAAAACCCTCTCTCAGTTCTCACCGAGGTCGAAGACCTGCTGCGTGACCAAATCGACTGAGAAAAAAAGAAGGAGAGCGTGCGGGTGGAGCGCGGCTGCCGCGGCTGCCGCGGCTCGGCTGGCTGGCTCCTGCGAAGTGCTGGGTGGATCTTATTAAGCCTTGCTAGAAGCGCCCTCCGCCCCCGAGTCTGTCTGGTCTAGGAGGCTCAGAGTTGCACCAGAGCCACCCGCTTTCCCCCCCCATCCGAAGGGAAGCAGAGCCTTTTCTGCGGCGTTCCTCCCACCTCCCATCATCCCATCATCCCATCCCACTCCAAAGGGCAGGGGCCAAAGGGCAGTCTTTACAAGCTCCGACGGAGGACTAGGAGAACTCAGGGCCTTGAACATCACGATGCACCTTAACTAGCCTTTAGTTTCCTGTTTTTTTGGTGTCAGGCGCAGCAGCTCAAGTCGCGAGCACATTCTAGTTACTCTAGTTGTACAGCTAAGCTCCGAAAGAATCTAGAAGTTGAAGCTCGAGCAGATTGAATCATCTTTGGTTTGGTCTTTCGTTGTTTAACTTCCGGAGCTCCTCCTTTATCTCAGGGTAACGATATACCGTGGCAGGGCAGTTATATGTCAACCAGCAGACCCCAGAACGAGTACTTGTACATGCTTACGCATTCACCATTTGTCTGTCGGTTCCTTGCAGGTCCTCTTTGCCCACCTTGCACTCGCTTGCGGCCCGAAGTAGCGAGACTTGCTGAGGAAAATGACCCGAGCTGAAGCAATGCGATTCATAGGATCTTCAGCATGGTTCAACTTTACAGCCTTTCATCCTGAACTCTCAGCGCAACATCACCTCATCAGACCAACGTCTCGGAAGGCTTCAAGAACTCGAGCGTTAAGCCAAGCAATCGCCCGCTCTGAATGCAATGACGCCGATGAGACTGTGCACTTCATGCCACGGACTTGGCCGGCAAAAGATCGAAGGCACTGCTTCACAACTCCGTGCTTTTTTGGAAGGTTGAAGATGCCACTGCTGGAATACCTGGGGAGGAGTGCAGGCCACGGGGCCTCAAGAAAAGCAACTTTCCCTGTTGTGACAGCTGCAGGTGCCCTCCTCCTGGCGATCATTTTGACTCATCACCTGGGGATTGAAGTGGCCAGACCTACCAATGCTAAACTTTAGTTTAGCCTCAGCTAGCTCCCGCAGCTCCCGCAGCTCGCCAGTCTGAAACCCCATGTCTCTGAAAGCCTGGCTCCATGTGGCAGCCTCTGACTTCAGAAAGGGAGCCCCTACTAGGCTCCTTTAGACCAGGCCTCCCTCTGCCGCGAATTTGTTTCTAGGGCACAGCTTGAGGGCGGCAGAGTCAGCTCCTGAGAGTCCCGATCTCGACGTCCCTCTGCTTCGCTCTCCCGGCACCGGGGGCCTTGGGCCTTGGGCCCTGAGCTCTCCCTTCGCTTTCTCCGCGCCTTTTTGGGGCGCTTTCTCTGCTCTCTGCCCAAGTCCCTCCTGGGGGCCTTCGGCCTGCGGGGGCCTCGGCTCGCTTCGCTGTCGCTTCGCTGCCTCTATAGAGCTCCGACTTAGACCGGCCTTAAGACTTCACGTGGCCTCTGCGCTTTGCGTAAAGCCTTGCATGCTGGAGTCCATCTCTGGAATCTAGGTCTATCTTTCTTTCAAACAGGTAGCCCTTGACGCCTTAAGTGCCTACCCCTCTTGGCCCTATTGGCTTTAAGAGAAGCGCTTTATGTTCGAATTTTTTCCGAGTGCTTGTTTAAGGACGGGCCAAGCTAGATAGGCGTACAACGGTGAACCGCCCGTGCTCCCATGGATGACTTGAATGCCTTGAGTGCCTGTGCCACCGCCTCAGAGCGGACTGTCCGATGTTGCTTGTCGAACTGCACGCTGCTACAGCTGTCACAGCTTCTGCACAGCTGATGCGCTTCCTACCACCTCGACAGCGAGCAGTGCAGCCATGTCACGCAAAGAGATTCTCAACTGAGTGTCGGCCATGCCGAGTGGTTTCAACACTTCAGACTTTAGCGTACCATGCACCGACAGGAGCCCAGTGCCTCGTCTAGGAAGACCCGTTCTCTCTTGCCTTTTGCATGCTCACGTACCTCCCGTGGTGAGCAGGCACGTTTTTGGGATGCTAAGCGGCCAGCAGTCTCAGCGTCAGGTAAGGTGCACTCTTTTGACGGTATTTTGGCCATGCTACAATGAAGCTCCCAGCACTCCTTGCTTAGCCCACACCGATGGGATGGCGAGAAGACGTGGAGCTTTCACAGAGTAGTTCTTTAAGTTTGAGCATGCGCCAGACAGCATGCGCAGCAGCCTGCGCCGCATGCCCCATCCTGTATCCTTATGGATGATCATCTCGCAGCTCCCGCTCCGAACCTCAGCAGCTTTCCCCCACAAGTCGTCAGGCCTCAGAGCTCTTTGAGGCTTCAAAAACCACATGTCACCTACGAGCGAGCCCAGCACTGCGAGATGCGCTGGAACGGACAAATGCCCTTCGAGGCATTCGAGGGCCATTGCATGCAACTCACAAATGCCTAGGTGTCCTGAGTCGGCATCCCCTTTTCTTGTCAAGAGCCGCCACCCGAACATGTTTCGATTTCGCACTCAGGCATGATATGTTTGAGAACTCTGGATTTCTTGCGACTCCGCCTAGCCATGTTTTCCTAGTCGCCAGTTCGATGCAGCGGCAAAAGAGATGTTTAGCGCCCGGTAGGGGCCACGTGGCCGCATAGTTTCCGCCATCCCGGGCAACCTTGCCTTTACTAACACTGCTTGATACTCCTTACGACCCCTCTGACACCACTACCACTGTAGCCCATCATTAGCCTATTGCAGCAGCACGTGGTGTCACTCAGCATGCGTGTTCCATCGCCTGCCAGCAAGATCCGCGTGACGTTGCGCATTGAGAACTCCAGTGAGATGCTCGCACTCCAAGCCACTCGGAAGGGCGCACGATGAGCCTCATGTGAGAAGCTTGGGAAAAGTTGAGTTCCCGGAGGCCCCTGTGGCTCTCCCTTATTGAGGCTCCTGTAAAGTGTTGAGAGTTTGAGCTCTGCCAGCCTTGTTACACTTAGGTCTTAAGTGTTACGCAGTATCAGCACTACAGTACCCCACACCACGGCCGCATCTTCACGCAGCGGCTTCTCGTCAGGTCTCCGCAAGGCGCTCCTCCATCAAGGAGGTGCCTGGAGTGCCCAGCGCCGCAGGCAGCAGGCCGCCGCAGGCACGCAGTGGCCGCAGCAGCCCAGCAACGTAGGGAGGAGAGCCTGAGAGCGCTGTGACGAGTCTGAGGCGAGCAGATGAGCCTTAGTCGGTTACCACTGTACCACTGCCAGGTGCTCTTGGCCGGCCTGGCCCTGGCCCGCAGACCCCGCAGACGTCCTTAAAGTCCCCAAGTCCCACTTGTCTCAGAGCCTCCAAACGGAGAGCAGCTTGCTCCAACGCATGGGGCGGGCCTCCGCCGGCAGTGCTGCGAGCGGCGAGTCGCTGTAGCAGCCGGCGCCGCGTATAGCCTAGGCCCTAGGCCCCCAATAGATAGAGTCAGATAGAGTAGAGACGGAGACGGCGGCGGATGCGGAGCTTTCTGCTTTGGGCCCTCTTCTGCCCGGCCTCGCGGCTGCGTCGCCGCTCACCGCCGAAAGCAACTCCGCTTCTTCCGGCTTCTCGCTGCTCTTCCGCACGCGCACTTCTTATAATCCCTCTCCTTAAAACAAGACATATCTCTTTCAAAAAAGAAAAAATGGGAATTTCAAAACTCCATAGGTCCCCTCCCTCCCCTCCGACCCAAGAAAAGCCACTTCACCGATCTACTGCCCGCCGTTTTTGTGAAACACACGTCCCGTGTCCCAGAGCCAAACAAACAGAAGCGCTCTCTGCGCTGTTCGTGCGTCGGGATTTAGGGAGCCCTCGCGGCGCCAAAGCCTTGCTCTCACAAGCGAGCCACGCAAGGGGGGGGGGGGGGGGGGATAATCTTGGCCTAAAGGAGATGATGTTCAGGGACGCGGAGCCGCAGTCGGATCAAGCAATGACAGCACAGAGAGTGCACACAGAGCATGGACAGCATGTGGAGGCGGCTTCAGCACCTCCGAGTCGCATGAGCAAGGGACGATGTGGTTCCGCATCTGTGGCAAGAGCTCACGACAATCTGACGTCAAGTCCGTTAAGCCGCCAGCAAAGCGTTCCGTCTGTCGGTCTCTTTGGAACTTTTCTTGTGGGCCGAATCTGTCCCTTGTGTCCGTTGCATTCCAGCAGACGCATGCCAGGCATGGGCATCCGCTGCCTGGCAGCTCCGTGTCAGGTGCTTTAAGCCGCCGAGTCTTCAGGGCGTCGTCAGCCGAGGCCATGGAGGTCGCTGTCGCCGCTGTCGCTGTCGGTGCTGTCGGTGCCGTCGATGTGGATGGCACGTTGCTACATGCCGCCTACATGCCGCCACGGCCGGCTCCGTGCAACTCAGGGCCCCGCAGCTGAAGTCGAGCACGCGTTGCAGAACATCCATGGAAAGTTGAAGGTCTGGCCTTAAGCATAGCTGGCATAGCTGCCAAGGGAGGCAAAGCCGAGTCAGGGCAGGGCCTTGGCAATTTACGTGCCGCCACGTCGCGGGCCTGCGGCGTTTCGGTTGGGCTGCCGAAAAGACCGAGAGAGCTGGCGCCCGTTTGAGAAAGAAAAAAACCATCGGAGCCCTGAGCATCCGTGAGTTGGCGGAGCGCTGAGAGCTCAGCTTTGTGCTCCGAAGTTTTTGCACTTCGGAGAAGAGTTTCGGGGTTCAGGCTCTGGCCTTGAGACCTTCGCGGGAAACGGGGCAACGGGGCCCATGGGTTTCTGTCGTCTTCACTGGATACGCAATTGTTGTGATGATGCATCACGCTAGGCTTTTGCTGTACATAGACTTCTTTTGAAGCACGATGGGGGGGAGTGTAGTATGTTTCTGGAACCCTGTAAGCAACTACACCATTTGTAGACACTGATCACAGAATTCATATAAGCCCTTGTCCGATCGAGCTCCTGAGAATCGATTCGATCCCAGTCCAACCAGTCCAACCAAAA